TAAATTCCTTGCCGATAAATTAATTGCGATGCCAATAAGATGTTCATTGGGCCGAACGTTTGAACGTAAAATTCCCCTGCCTGCCCAGCATGTCCCCTAATAAAACAGCAAAAGAAAAACATTCTCGTTAGGAGGAATTCATTAAGTGCCGAACCCCCAAAGAAAACGGTCGTTTCCTCCATGATAACGGCGTAGATAAAAGAAAACACACTGCAAAGACAAGGGTAGTAGTGCGGTCAGTGGAGATACAACGAGGAACACCGCATATATGGAGAAATTTTGGTGTGAAGACCGGCACGGGTATTACGTATTTTAAAAAGTGACATTATATAGGGGCCATCCGTTGGTTTCTTTTTGAAATTGGTATTAAAACTACACTCTTCAATACTATGTAACACTCGATGCTTTATTCAAAAAAATATACATCTTCCGATTATTTATGAAAAATAATTTCAGTTAAATTTCTGCCGCGGCTGGGCTGGCAGTAGTCCATCCTCTTAACCCAATTTTGAAGCACATTTTCTATAGTTTGTGGGTCTATGTCATCAATAGCTCGAGGGAAATTTTCCTTAAAAACATCAATTGTTTGAGGATCGTTAGTGTAACAGCGGTCCTTAACAGTACCCCTTAGAAAGTAATCCATGGGCGTCAAATCATAGCTGCGGGCTGGTCAATGAACGTCTCCAAAACGGCTGATAAAGCGATGACCTAACTTATAGTTGGACCAGCGAAAGATTGCAAGCCGAAAGAATGCGGACAAAAAATTGCGAAGTTGTCAGATGTTCTACATAAAATGCGGTCCATACATATTAACATATTTAAGATATAGAATTGTTCCGCTGAATTTGGCAATGTAGCTGGAAAACCCAGGCCGCAGGTAAACATCCGGTCGCTGATTGGTCCAAAACTCTTATCTTATCTGAAACTAGAATAACGTGCCGATGGCACGGTCATTTATAAACCTACTCCCATAGGCGTAGGCAGTTGGCAAATACTTTGAAAATATAATTTACTGTTTAGTGGTGATAATGGAATTCAAGCATGGGAAAGTTATTCACAGCCAGGCAAGGGAAATAATAGCAAACGTGATACGTGCTTGCGATGCAGAAGCGGCTAACAATACTTTCGTTTATCCACTGGTAGCTAGAAATGCAAGGGCGGCATATTATACGGGTGTTAGTGAACGAACTATAAGTAAAATTAGAAAAGAAGATAAAGACAGGCAAAATGCAACCTCCACACAGCCTTTAGCTTCTCCCGGAAAAAAGAGATCACGCCCTTCTGTGATCCAAAAAATTGATGGAGTCGATTTTTCCATTATTCGGAGAATGATAGAAAAATTTTACTGTGATTTTAAAGTGGTACCTACTTGTAGTAAACTTCTAATCAAACTGAAGGAAGAAATGGAATTTCCATTTGGTAAAGAATCGTTGAGGCTGCTTTTAAAAGCAAAAGGATTTTACTGGCGTAAATGCCACAACAAAAGGAAATTACTAATGGAAAGACCCAGTATTTTACATTGGCGATACAAGTATCTTAGGTCTATTAAAAGTTCCGGGAAGAAGGAAGGCATATTATTTATTTGGACGAAACTTGGGTTGATAATGACCTCACTTTCAAGAAATGCTGGCAAAGCGAAGAAATTATGGGTGTCCTGAGCAATATAAGTTCTACAGGTAATAAAGTTTCTTTCACCTCGATTTTGCTTATTATACATTTTTCTCAATTTTGGAATATTCTTAATAAGTGCTCATTTAATTTGTCTAATTGAATACATAATCCCTTGCAAGTATTTTTTTCTCAAAAATATGTTTTTTATACATAGTGATTCAAAAAGGTGTTGGCAAACTTAAAATAACACTAAAATGAGGCTATTTATTCATTTCCAGGACGACTTATAATTGTTCATGCGGGTTCGCAAGATGGTTTTGTTCCTGGAGCCTGTCTCATTTTCAAGGCTGGCTGTGCCACTGGTGATTATCACGGTCAAATGAACCAAGAAAATTTCACGAAGTGGCTTACTGAAAAACTATTTCCTAACATTCCTCCTAATAGTATTATAATAATGGATAATGCACCTTACCATTCAGCTTTGGAAGACAAGCCTCCAACTAGATCTTCTCTAAAAAGAGACATCATCACGTGGTTGAGCAAAAAAGGTATAGAGCATGATCCTAATGCTAAAAAAATGGAGCTTTATGAAATAGCTTGTCTACATAGGCCACCATCTGATGAGAAAAATTATAAGATAGATAATTTAATAAGAAGTTTCGGACACACCCCACTTCGAACGCCACCCTATATGTGTCAGTTTAATCCCATAGAGATGATTTGGGCACAAGTAAAATTTTTCATTAGAAGCCATAATACAAGCGGCGAATTTACTATAAAAAAACTAGATGAAATTTCTAATAAGGCCATCGCTTCAGTAAGTGCCAGTGACTGGCAAAAGGTTATTGGACATGTTATAAAAATTGAAGATGAATATTGGGAAAAAGACAGTCTCATTCAAGAAATACAGGAAGAAATAATAATCAACATAGGAGGTGAAAGTGATAGCAATGACAGTTCCTCAGACAGTGATCATGACTCTAATCAGGATTGAAACTATACTAGATTGGCTACCTTTTAGAATTTTTAGATATTCATTTATTATACTATTGGTTTGTGGCTTTTAGTATCTCAGTAGAAAGTCTAATTCTATGTGTTGTTTATGGGTTATTTCATCAAGAAATTACTTTTTGTTTTCCTATATTTTCTATTCAGTCAGATATTTTTGACTTGTTGTATTCTATTTTAGAAGAATGCATAATTTGTTTTGCTGTTCAATCATAATGCGTACATAGGAATATTACTTGTTGCCTAAAAAATATATTTATTTTGTTCTCAATATTCAGTGTTTGTGTATATTTATTTCTTATAATGTATGTTTGGTATCACGTCATTATGAATCGCAAAAAAATATTAATACTACCAGTTGTAATAAATATAAATTCAATTAATAATTCAAGTCTCTCCGATCTCCGCCTATGACTCCATATAAAATCGTCTAATGGTAAGGTTTTTTCATCGCATTTCCCCCTTTCGTCCCTAGCAATCTTTGGCTGGTCGATCAATACAGTATATTCAGATAAGAGATAGACCGGATGTAAACAAAAGGTTCGGGTGATTTTCACGCTAACGCCGCCGTCTCGACGTAAAACAGGAGCCCTCATTGGTCAATTCGCAATTAAATGCCTATGCCGAGCGGCAGAGCAGTCGTATCAAGGCAGAGTCACATTCAGGTTCAGACGTGTTACGTATGTCGTGTGCATCATTGCAATTTGATATTTCTTTGGACGTTTTCGTTTGTTATCTTATTAAGTTGTTGAGTTTGTCGTTGTTATTGTTATACCTTGTTATTGATTGTTATTGTTATCAACTGCTTGCGCAAAATGCCCAGTAGTACAGATACTGCCGATGAAGTTGTAAACTCCTGTAGTCCACCTAGGAAACGCTCTAAAAAAAAGACACCTGAGTGCAGAAATGAAAGAGGTCATTTTGAATATATATAAGATCGAGCGCGAGGAGAACGAGGCATCAACCATCAAAGAAATTGTTGTGAAGGTTTCTCACAAAGTTGGGGTGTGTCGCGCATCAGTGTTTAATGTGTTAAGACAATACAGAAAAAATCACACCTTTTCTGAGCCAATGACCAGTAAACATCGCAAAAGTATTGTTAAATCATTGGATGAAGCTGATAAGCATGCGATTAGGAGGAAAGTGCATGAATTCTTCTTTAGGAATGAAATACCTACTATAGATAAAGTACTGCAGGAGGTAAATGGAGATACAACGTTGCCAAATTTCAAACGATCAACTTTCCATGCGTTACTGAAGCATTTAAATTTCAAATGGAAAAAACGGGGTCGTAATAGTTTACTACTGGATAGAGAAGAAATTGTGCTATGGAGGAGGGATAATTTAACAAAAATTGGGAAATATAGAAATCAAAACAGGAAGATTTATTACCTTGATAAAACGTGGGTAAACGCAGGACACACTACAAGTAAAGTATGGGTTGATGATTCTGTAACTTCATCCAGGAGGGCCTTTCTAGATGGACTGTAAACCGGATTAAAAAATCCAGCAGGTGAATACGAGTAATAGACAACAATCGGATGTTTTTCAAACCTTGGGAACAAGGTATAAACATTAATTCCAGGGTGCAGATAAAACATATCACAAGTAACAAAACTTTTATAACTTTCGATAAAATGCGTGGATGTTTTATTGTCATTTTCATTTGTTAGAACTTTTTTAAGCCATGTTTTTATGTGTTTTCGATATTTCAATAATTTTTAATATAATCTTAAAATATGTCGAATATTATAAACTTAAAAAAAGTTACTAAGTTTATATTGTGTACCGTTCCTAATATTTCTAATCATTTTAATTCATACTTTAAACTTTATAAAGTTATAATTTGTTAATATTAATATTTGCGAGTATTTCAGGTTCCTGGTCATTCATTTTTTAAAGGTTTATAACTTTAAATTAAATTGTGAAGCGCTGAGTAATCATACGACGTTCAATATTCTTTCTTTCAATATGACTAAATAATCCCAATTATAGCAATCTGTTACTCATGTCTCAATGTTTTTTCGCTGAATGTGATGAAAACATTTGAAAAAGGTTCGCTTATTGAAATAAATCTACACCAGTTAGTACTTCGATTTCCAGGTAAAGGGAAAAGGCTCATTATCTGCCATATTGCAGTGAGGATGGATTTAAATATAGAATAAGAAATTCTAAGCCTGTAGTGTGTAAAAGATCGAATAGGTACCTTTACATTTACACTCCTTCCTGCGGGACTGGAACGCCCCGTTCCAATCGTGTGCGAAAGCATGCCAGTGTAAATGAGAAATAATCGCTCGGTTTTTAGACGTGTTCAAACTCGCATTTTCGTCGCTAGTGATTTTCGTGCAGGTAAGACGTTTGATTACATTTTACTTTCGCGCGGGCAATTGTGCGTAAATTGTGTTCTAGCGTGGGTAAGTATTTTATTGTATATACATATACAAAGTTTCAATTATTTTAATTGTTAGGTAGATAATATGGCAGATACACGATATTGGTCGAAAGACGTTGTTTCAGAGTTTATTGAAATATATAAATCTTATCCATGCTTATGGAAAATCAAATCCCGAGAATATACAAACAGAAATTTGAAAAATGCTGCTTACGACAAATTAGTCGAGTTTTGTACAAAATTACATCCAGAAGCAAATCGAGATTATGTTGTGAAGAAAATACAAAGTTTTCGTGGTTCTTTTCGGAAGGAATTAAAAAGATAGAGGAATCCAAGCGAAGTGGAGCTAGTACAGATGAAATTTATACTCCCACATTATGGTATTTCGACTTACTCCAGTTTACTATTGATCAGGAAATACCCACGCAAAGCATTTGTAACATGGAAGATGAAGGAACAGAAAATTCCAACCACTCTACTGAAGAAGAAGTTGAATTTCAAGAGAAAACAGAAGTAAATAATACACAAGTAAGTTTTTTAGGTACTTATTTATTAAAAACAAAAATATACATTAAGCTTTTCCTTAGGCCAACATTTCATCCTGCCAATCAATTTTTCCATCTGAATTGAAATAACTTGTATAATATCTCGATTAGTTTTCGCAGCTATGGTAGCTACTTTTTTGTTACGACTTTCTAATTTTGTCATATTAACGGCATTTTTTCTCCAATCACCCACCTGTAACTCTTTAGTTATCAGATTTTCTTGATCAAATGATGTTGATGTTGTATAAGAAGTATCACGCTTCCTAAGAAAATTGTGAAGAGAACAAATAGCAAGTACAACGTAACAGATGTTTTCCGGGTTCTTCATATGTATTGGTGTATGCAGAATTCTAAACCTTGCCGCTATCAGGCAAATGCATTTTCCGAAACATTTCTCGCTCGTGATAGTCTATAGTTAAAAATTCTTTTACTATAAGAAAGATCTCTTTGAGGATACGGTTTTAAAAAGTTTTCATGTAAAGAAAATGCTTCATCGCCCAAAAATACAAAATTGAAATTATTTTCTGTGTCTGTGTTATTTGGCAGATGTAACTGGCCTAAAACCACAAAATTATATTATTCATAATTACATATATACAAGTATAACAACTTACCATGAATTAACTTATGATAAAATTTGGTGCTTTCAATTACTCCTCCATCAGATAATCTTCCATTTTTGCCTACATCGACAAAAATAAATTCGTAGTCAGCATTGACGAGAGCCATTAAAATGATACTATAAAAATTTTTATAGTTATAGTATTGTGCTCCTGAATGAGGAGGAGGTACAATACGAATATGCTTGCCATCCAGAGCTCCTCCACAGTTTATAAATTGCCATTTTTGTTCAAATCCATTTGCTACTTCCAGCCAATCCTGCTGCGTAGATGGAAACTAAAATAATATTTTTTTTTAGAAATCTGCAAGTGTTTCATCACAAGTGCCTTCAACATCTCATGCACGTCCAACAAGTCCAACTGCCTTCAAGCCTGCCTCAAATAAAAGAAGTAAGACTTCTAAACAAAATAAGACCCAAACAGACCAATAACCCCACCACTACAAAAAAACATAGTTACTGTTTTTGGATGCATTGGTTTCTCTATGACATGAATTTTCAGAACCCTAACTCATACCTTCTGTTATCCACAGCTAGGCCAGTTTCACGAATTTTCGTTTACCAGTTGCGGACGGAACTTCATTCAATTTTCACAAGGTTTCTGCAACATATCTCGCACTTTGAAAATAGTTTTTCAATATTTCCTACCTTTGTTCAAGATTAAAACGAAAATTGCTCACAGAGGAAGTTTGACACAATGTATCTGTCAAGATGTTGAGCATGGAAGTGTTACTAACTGTCAAAATAATACCAACTTAAAAAAACAACTCATGCTCCACCCTTTACAAGATGTTAACATAGCACTGGCTGACGGACACGTTGCGAACTCGTTTTGTGGTAAAGTTGTACGTGTTGCCTAAACGTCATGTGGCTTCAGTTATCAATGTTTGGCTCTGATGTGATGTTAAATCTGCTTCAGAGATGGCATTACTGGAGGTAACGGCAATGCATAGGTGCATAGTGAGGATTTGTGTGCTAATAATATGTGTTGATGATAATTCTATTGGATTTTTGTCTCAAGTACACTTACTTGAGATCCAAAGCTAGCAATTAGTTGCGCATCCACTTTTTCTTATCCATTCTGGAAATTATTGCAAATATCGCTAATGGCCGTTGGGTTGGATATCTCATTAAAACTCAATTGCCGTTTCGGATTATGTGTTGCAGAATAGCAACGCTGCATGGATTCTTAGATAGTTCCTCCTCCTCCTTCTGCGCACGGACCCGCCTTTCATAAATGGCTCTACTTTACATTTTTGGTACCAGCATTCGCTCAGAAGCTGACTGTTTTTCTTCTGAAAATAACAATCGGCAACACTGAAACATTTCAACGGCGAAAATCAAAGGCATCCCGTTGTTGTTCTGGAGATGCTGAACATGCCTCTTTCGACATTCTATGGGGTTGTCCAAACGGACGCAGGAAAGTAAACGCATATTAAAACAAGAAAGATTGATATTCAAATCAAGTTGGGTACTTTATTTTGAAGGTTCATTTATACCATTTATGTATGAAAAATAATATCGCTCAAATGTTCACCACGACTGGATTTACAGACGTCCACGCGATGGTCGAAATTTTCAATGACATTTTGCAACATGGTCGGTTCTATGGCATTTATCTCGGCAATGATGTTGTTTTTGAGTTCTTGGAGGGTGGCTGGTTTGTTGACGTAGACTTTGCTTTTCAAATATCCCCATAAAAAGAAGTCCAAGAGAGTCAAACCGCACGATCTTGGTGGCCATGGCACATTTCCTCTGCGCGAAATCACGCGATCACCGAAGAAAGACTGCAATCGATTAATATTGACGTTGGTTGTGTGGCATGTTGCACCGTCTTGTTGGAAATAAACATCGTCCATATCCATTCCTTCAAGTTGCGGCAAAAATAGTCCTCTATCATCACGAGATAAAGCTCAGAATTGACGGTAACGGCGTCCCCGGGCGCATTTTCGAAAAAGTAAGGTCCGATGATGCCTTTTGACCACAATGCACACCACACAGTCACTTTTTGAGGATGCATCGGCTGCTCTTGATACTCACGGGGATTTTCGTTCGCCCAGATGCGGCAGTTTTGCTTGTTTACCGTCCCATTCAAAGCGAAATGCGCTTCGTCGCTGAACATGATTTTTGATGAAAAATTGGCATCAATTTGGCGGTGTTCAAGGAGCCAATCTGAGAACGTTCGGCGCGAAAAATGGTCGGCCACGCAGCTCTTGCGTCAATTGGATCTTGTAGGCGTGTACATTCAAATCCTTGTGGAGAATGCGGAGCAAACTGGTTCTCGAAATGCCCAATTCTTGGGATCGACGCGTTGTTGATTGTTTCGGATCGTCTCTCACACTCTCCTTCACAACAGCAATATTTTCCGGTGTGCGAACGCTCCTTGGCCGGCCAGAGCCTGGCAGATTTGCCACAGAACCTGTTGCCTCGAATTTACGCACCAGGCGACCGATGGTTGTTTCGTTTGGGCGGTTGTTGTGACCGAAATGTTCACGAAGCGCCGGAAACGTGTTTTTTATTTTTGCACCATTTTTGTAGTGCTCTCGAATAACTTTAATGCGGTCTTCAATCGAATACGACTCCATAGCGATCAATGGTAAACATTCAACTAACAAAATGACATGTCGGTGATAGAAAACAAAGATGGCGTCTATGTCAAATTGACGTTTACTTTCCTGCGTCCTTTCCATCCACATTAAAGTATGATGACCGTACTATAGTAGCAATGTGTGAAACGTCAAACTGCTGGACGCTCGGCTGACTTTTACGGGCAGTTTTTTCAGTAAACGGCGGATTTTATCGAGTAGGAAGCTTTGGGAAAATATGTAAGGGAGAACTGCCTTTATGATTTGTAGCGTTAGACGATAAACAGGACATTGTGGAAGTTGAACCCTCCACGCGTCGTTGCTCTGCCGTCGTAAATTATTCTGTTTCGTGATGGACTTTTACAGTTTCATAATTATGTTTTCGCGTATAATGCGTGAGACTATAATCATATTCAAGCGAATAACCAAATGAAAATGGTATTTATCATTTTGGATTGGAATTTACCGATTCGTTCAAGCGAGTGTATACTATAACTATCTAAAACTGTAATGACTCATCGATGTTCACCTGAACATCACTTAACTACTAGTAGTCGGCTGTTCATAGGCGGGGTATGAATGTTTAACATGGGTGAACTAGATTTGTCACATGCTTAATAAAGAGTGGTTTGAAACATATTGTAAGTCAAAAATTTGGGAATTACCTTTATTCATCGTCGCTTCCACTTACATCTGACAGTGATAAACTGTCGCTATCGCTTTCCTCGTTGAAATTGACTATAACTGGCTCTATGATGGTGTCGATGTGGTGGTCAAGCCGCCACATTTTTGTTTCTTCCTTCACAACATGACGGATAGCATTCTGCCAAGCTTCGGTCGTTACTAGCTGTATGGAAGTCTCAAGTAAAACCTTAACGTCTGGTAATTTGAAGGTTGTGTTATGGCGCGCAATATAACCCTTCACTTGAGCCCAGATGAGCTCTATTGGGTTCAGTTCACAGTGGTAGGGCGGTAACCGCAGCACAGTGACACCACATTGACGGGCCATCTCATCAGTCACGTAACTAATGTTCGCAGGTTTGTGCTGTTTAATTTTTTCATACAGTTCCGCTTTCACACATGAATCATCAAACGGGATTCCTTTTTCGCGCAACCATTGCTGCATGTCACTTTTTCGAGATCCCATAGTCGGTACACGTTCGGCTCGACGACTATGGTAGGAAGCATTATCCATGACGATCACAGAGTTGGGCTCAACTCACTGAAGCACCCCTTGAAACCAGCTCTCGAAGCAGCTGGCATTCATTTCGTCATGGTAATCACCTCCTTTCTTAGAGACGAAAATCAAGTCACACTCTTCTAAAAAGCCACTATCGCTACCAATATGAGTTACGATCAATCTTTGACCTTTCCCTGACGGTCCACGAAGACCTGTTGACAAACCTTCAATGCTTGCTTGTCGGTTACTCACTACGTTTTTGTCTATCCAGGTTGTTTTAACTGTGTGACCTGCATTTACCCATGTTTCGTCCAAATAATAGATTTTTCTGCTTTGTCGCCTATATTCAATCATTTCGCGTAGGCATTTTCGACGCCTGGCGACTATTTCAGGTCTCTCTATCAATACTGACTTTCGATTACGCGTTTCGTAACGAAAATTAATTTCGTGCAGGGATTTCCTCATTACCTCGACGCTCATTTGGGGTATAATTTCATTTTCCTTGATAGCTGCATGTACAGCCTTGAGGGTTGGTATCTCATTCCTAAAGAAGAATGAATGTACGGTCGCCTTAACGCCATTTTGCTATCGTCATCACATTTAACGGCCTTTCGTCCCTTCAAATTAAACGTTGGATCAGTAGTAGCTCGTTTTCTTCTTTTCATGCACCACCCTGCGGATGGTCCACTCTGGAACGCCTGTCATACTTTCACAACGCGCGAGTGCATCTCCCTGCGACATAGTTCTGTTCAGATAATTGAACACGTTGAGCACGATTTCTTTCGCGTCCCTCTTCAGTGCTTTACGAAGCCGTCTACTTGTTCCCTGGCGTTCAGTACTTCCACTCGTGCCATTTGTACTCTCCATGGTTAAGTATAACCAAAACAGTAACCACAGAAACCACAACAATCACACAACAATTCTTATAAAAACACACAATATGCGATCGCTCAACGAAACACGTTCCAATGCGTTGCCGACGCCTATGAGTCTGCCGGTCGAGGCGCGTCTTTGATTTCATTGGTTCTACCGGCGGAGAACAATCAGCCATTAGTTCCATCTCTGACTGTGCTGTTGACCACCGCAAAGCCACAGAAACGACATATGTCGTACGCTATACGGCTGTACTGGAAGGAAGCCGGGATCGGGCTCTGATCACGTGTTGATCACGCGTATGAGTCATTACAGTTTTAAATAGTTGTAGTATAGTTATCAGTCTGGTTATAAGATCCGTGACGTCATGAATCAGCTGTTATATGTTATATTATCGTCGCATAATTCTGATATTTACCTAACTCAGGGGTAGTTTTATATTTCTGAATATTATTTGAAATGTGACAAGTTAGAATTTTATTGGATATTTTTGTTATACTTCAGCTTCATTTTTGGGAAACTTGATACAGCACATCATTAGTTATACTCATCACTGTTGTTGGGGACACTTTAAATCTAGTTCCTATGCTTAACAAAGTATCCTGTGTAGCCATATACCACAAGAATATTAAAATATGGCCATATAAACTAACTGGATGATGTCCACCTGTATACGGTTTTGCTAATATCTTTTTTCATCGCTTTTTCCTATCATTTCTGCTAAGTCAATAAATGTTTTCTTTGATACGCGGAAAAGTTTAGAGAATTGAAAGTTATCACAGCTACAAAGCCATGCTTCCATCATTAAAAATTATTTTGTGAAACAAAAAAACATTTCTCCCATTAATATTATGAAAGGTTTCTTTTTCAAACTTTCCATACACTGTTGTAGAC